AATATTTCAAAATATTTCATAATTTACACATATAAAGAATTCTATAGAAAAAAATGTAAATTTCAATATTTTCTAAGTGTTCTAATTTATATTCTAAAAAAGTTTCAAAAATTTGTAAAATTGTACAGGAATTTTTTATAGTTCTGAAATTTATAGATGCAAAATTAAAAAAAAAACTTTCGTAAGAACGTATCTGATGTTTAAGTTTAAGAAACGTACATAAAGTCAACATATGGCTACTCAGTTAAATTATCAGATTCGTATCAATCCTACGATCAATAACGAGAAGGAAAAAACAACGAGAAAGATTCTCATCCTCGACGGATAGGCGACGGATGGATGGATCGCCTGTTAGGTTCAGAGAGCGAGTGGTTTTAATGACGACGCGCAGATACAATAATAAAAGTATATTAGATAATGACATTCGCTCTCTTTCTCACTCTTGCTTCCTAGTTGAAATGACATTGTTGGCGCGTCCACGTAGAAGCTCGCGTCGCAAAACGTACGACGTGATTCAGACTCCGAAAACGTTGGGGGGAAATCAAAGCTTTCATTGAAGCTCTGATTGCGCGCGTTCAAATTGGATGAAATTTATCACATCCAACGCTAACTTAATTGTTGAGGAGCTTTAATTAATCGTCGCTGCAGACTGTTGACTTCTCACTTTCGTCATAAAAAAACCATTAAACTGGTTACGGACGTCGAGATAAAATGTCTCTTTACCTATATTGGATTACGACATCAAGAGATTACTCTGGAAATATATAATTGGCTTGAGAAATACTCTAAAAAAAGCTTCTTCACACGAATTGACGTATAGAATGATAACTATATAATTTGTAACGAGATCAATTTCCTTTAGAAGATAAAAATATAGGACACACATATAGATTCAGTCTATTAATTCCGTCTCCTTTTAAAATTAACTGAAACCTTATTGCTAAAAACTGATACTAAATTAATCGAATCGTTTGCTTATTGTTACTAACTCAGACAACTAAAAATATATAAAATCGGGTCATAAGACGTTTTTTGCATCTAAAAGACGATTCAAAGACGTCTTATGTCATAATTTTAGACTTTGTGTTGTTTGGGAAGTATATATCTGCAGAACAAATTAACAGTAACATTATATCAATATTATAATTTTCCATTTAACAATATAAATGTAATATATAACACATATTGTATATAACAGTTCCATTGTTGAATAAGAAATTATAACATCGTAATGTTACTGTTAGATTGAGCTTTGAAAAGGTAGAAATATAGCAACTCTGTAAAAGAGATGCAACGTATTCTTTGTGAAACGACGTGGTTTCTCTCGGATATAATTTTTTAAACGGATGTAGTGAACGTAATATACGAATACATTATAGATATATTCTTTTAAAATAAAACTAATATTTGTTCTTTCTTTCTTTGAGAGAGTTTAATTTTCATCATTGATTGAGGAAGACCTTAATAAAGGCTGAAATTAGTTTCAACTAAAGAATGATTGAAATATACAGGAAATTCAATTAAAAAGCATTTTTAAAAATATTATATATGAAAAGAATTGCCATATTGTGTTGCACGGATACAATATTAAACGATTGACGACATTTCGTGGCTCAGAATTCTCGATATCACTGATTATTATTGATTATTGATCATTAACATCTTGCAAAATCGATTTCTAATTTCGGAAGCTATCTATTCTAAAAACACGAAAAATGGCACAAAGCCTGCTTTAGACAGTATAATTCATGTAAGGTTTTCAGAATAGAAATCTAACATTCCTTTTTTATAGCATAATGTATTTTCATCTATTTTATACTGTATTATGATACTTCAGATGCTTTTGGTATTATATGGCATATAAAATTATAGTTAAGATATTTTCTAAGAAATTGGGAATAAAAAATGAGTTTCAGTTAATTTCTATTAATTTCTTCTCTTTTTAAAATTAGCCAAAATTTTTTGCTAAAAAATGATACTAAATAATAATAATAATATTAATAAAGTTACTAATAGTAATAAAATTCAATGTTTATTTTGGATTTTTATCTTTATTGATATAACGACAATGTAAATTCTGACTGCATATATCACGATTTTTTTATCTTTGTCTGACTTTATATGTACGTAGCGATATTTAAATTCTGATCTTCAGATTCATCATTACGGAAGATTCCAACACTGGGGGCCGAAACATTCAACATGACTAAAGCGCATATTATCGGATTTCTCTATTATATATATATATATATATTTCTTTTGCATATCGCTTGCGCATTGACATCTGCATGTTGGCTTAATTACTCTTATTGCCTTTATCTGTCGACTGAAGAATATAATAAGTACTTCTGCAACAATTCTGCATACGTTGTCGTTTCGTCTCCGTTGCAACAAGAATCTTCCATTCAGTTGCATTAAAATACTACAGAAAGTTTCGTATTTCAAAAACAAAGATCAATTTTTTTTCTAAAATGATTCCTTTGTGGAGCATTTAAGTTGAGAACGATATCTTACCTTACTCACCACGAGATAAACAATCGATTCAATGAGAAAGCAGCAAGCATTATTGCGTCATAAACGATTAGGTTTATCAGTCTCTTTGTTTATAAAGAATGTAAAACTTGCGTTTGTCCGTATATTCCCTCTCAAAAAATCAGTAGATTTTCGTATTTTGGGGAAGTGCGAGAATTGTTCCACGAGTGCATTTTTAAGATTCAGACACAATAAAAAGTACAGGCAGCATACTGGAAAAAAAAGATTTGTTGATTCTGTGTGTGGTAGATTCAACTAGAAAAATCTAATAAATCTATCAACCATTCTAATCAAGATAATCAGAAATTCAATTATAACAGAATTCTGATATGATAAGAATTTGTTTTGTTTCTACTTCTAGTTAATACCAGATCATTTTTTTCAGTGTAGAAACAGGAAATAACATACAGGCAATACATTTCAATCTACCAGAAACTATGTATCGATGCGCAACAATTTCTGGTAGGTTGAATTTTGTTTGTGTTATTCCTCGTTTCTATTGCCTGTGCTTCTCATTGTGTCTGCGGGACCTTATTCCCGATAATTCGATAATTCGCCGTAGACGTAACTGGGGCGAAAGTTATTGTGCGGCGTAGTTTTTTTTTTTTCTAAAGTCTCTCAGCTTCGCACGCCGCTCGGAAATCGATACCATCGAAAATAGATGTACCGCGTGCTGTGTTTACGTCGTCACGTGCCAACACGTGCTCTCATGTTGGACATTTAACGTGAACTAATTTCGCAAACGCAACTTTGTAGCCGAGTCGTCACGCGCCGATTGTTGTAGTCGCGTATCTTGGCAAATCATTCGGAAAATGCGGGATCCAGATTGAACGAACGCGAACGCATGCGAACAAATTCGTTCGTTTAACAAATAAGAAGATAATATTCAAAACACAGATGCCTAATAATATTTTTGTGTAACTTTATAATATAATGTAATATTACAATTTTTATAATATAACGTAAATTTTATTCCAGTTTAAACTGCCGATTATTTGTCGGTTTTGAAATATAGTTCTATAAGATGAAACTGGAGTAGGTATATTACACGTAAATTGATACACAATTTAATATTGCTCATAATAAACATCTTCAAAATACTGCAGAGAATTTATTGATCTCAGTCAGGATCTCCCTTATTTGTTCGTGTTATTCTGGATTCGCTTAATCTGGATCACAATAAGCGATAATCGACTCGCAATAGAAAGAATTGGAAGGAGAACGGATGTTCACGAGATGACTGCGTGATTCACTTTTTCGATTCACGAGCGTTTTCTCGTGCCTGTCGAATCCTTATTATATGGTCTGTCTGCTAGGACCAATCACGCTTGATATTTGATCGCATTTTATTTCTCAACGAAGCTGTAAAAAGGCACATTAAAAAATTACACGTTGACCTTAACGAAGTTTGAGAGTAAAGTAATCGGCGTACAATTACATTTTTGTGTCTCGCACGATGACAATAAGAATGAAGCGAGAGTATCAAATCCATTTTACAAGTGAAGGTGGAACCAATAGAACCAATAATACGATATAACGTTAGCTATGAAGGAAACAAGTATTTTTTTTCGCTGAAGAAAGATATTGTGCCGCAAATGCGTTTTAACGTATCGAAAGAATAACAATGAAATATATAACCAAACATTTAATTTAAGCGAGTATTTAATGATGCATATTGCACATTCTTTTCGTGTTAAAGCGATCCCGTTACGTGAATGCTCGAAGAAATTTTTATTTAATCTTGCTGATAATCACTGATAATATATCTTGAAAACACTATGCGGATGTTTTTCTTGTTAAGATCATATGAAGGAAAGGTTTCGTTTTAAAACGAAAAGAATCATCATGTCAAAAATTCGACAATTATTTTATATATATATATATATTATCTATTATAATAATTTTTATTTCTTATAATTTAATGCTCTTCATCGTTCTGTATTTATATATTTATAGAGATATATTTATATATAAAACACATAGCTATGACATACCAAATGTGTTTGCTTAGCAATGCGACTCTGATATTCAACGTTCTTCGCTAATTGTAAATGCACATGCATGAAATTATAAAAGCGGGTGTACGATCGTTTTGATTAGAATTATTCTCATGACGGACATAATGTATGTGTATGTCTGTGTGTGTATGTGTGTGTATATAACTCCGTATATACATATCTTTTAGTAAGCTTAGCTGACAATACAATTTTCATACTATATCAACTTAAATATTCCAAATATTTGACACGAGTCATAAAGTTGAGGAGACTATCGCAGATGACGTTTCGAAGGATCAAAGTACACACTGGATCGATTGATTGATCGAGTCGCATCGAGCCGAGAAACGAATAAAAACGTAACATTTTTCTTGCACGTTACCAAAAATTACAGTTGCTATGAAGTGTACTAAATTAACAATTTTTCCAAAGCGAAGAAATTCTCAGAACTTGTCAATAAAGAATCTTTATATTCTAAAAAGAAAAAAAAAACAAGATGAGCGTGATAAATATTAAAAAAGAAAATTAACAATTACAAAAGAGTAATAGTATAGTCCACATGTCACGCCAAATGTCGAGTCGGAATCAAGTGAGATATACAAGTGATTCGCAACAATGATATAACACGGCTATAATAATTTACCGTAAGCGCTCACTTAATACAAACTGTATCATTTGCGCGAGTCCAAAAATTTTAAACTCTTGCAGAATAGTGTGATATATGGAATCGTGTAAGGGGGAAGGGATAAGGGAAGGGAGGAAACTCTCTCTTGTTAGCGTTACATTTTCTTTATAATTCTTCAATGCGATATTCCCTTAGGGCGCTGCATATTTAACAATTTGTTAAAAGCTAGTTATATAATATTATGTCCCAAGTTAGTGTGGCTCTTAAAATATATGGCAGTCATCCGAACGCAAACAGATACGTTTGCAGGAAAAGAAGTCAAGTAAAATACTGCGGTGCGATAATATGATAATGAAAGCGATATATCCTAAGCGATCAACACGGCTGGAATCGTTCTCGCCCTCCTTTTAGTATATTGTTGGAGATTATATCTACTCTGTAACGCGAAAACTCGCGTGAAATGCAATAAAATGCATTAAAAGACGTTAAAAATCCGAACTCATCATATAGAATAATCATAAAAATTATCATAAATCATGGACCAAGATATATCTCCTCCAATCCACGTTCTTTACAGACACAACAAGATCGAACCCGTCTTCTATCGAATTACGTTCTTAAAAAAGATTGCTGAATGTAAAAACATCGCAGCAACTTATAAAATACTTTGTACCACAAAGAAGACACTATTTATTTCACTGTTTCCGCGACAAAGAAATGATCGTGCATCTTGAAATGCGTGACAATATATACGCAAAATGTAATAGAATTAAATCCCGTGTCAAAAGTCTGATCACGCTAACGTGGGACATGAAAAATGTCGCTTGTTCTTCAACTAGCAATATTGCAAAGTGTCCAAAATTCATTGAAGAACTAAATTTAATTAGACTTTCAATAGCCTACACTTGTAAATATCAACATATAACCGTTAAATATCTCCGTTCTTCGAAAGTAGGCGTTTTCAAAGACCCGCGTTCAATCCGTCCTTCAATTCATTTCATTACACCGTGGCCATGTCTTCTAATTTTATATTAGCGTTGCTTTAACCATGTAGAGCGACGAAACATTTCTGATAAACACGATGTTGTGCAGACGCATTACGAGCGGCTTTACACCGTACTTCACTGCTCCAGTTTAGCTGAAAATTAGTAAACGTGAAAGGTGATAATTATTTTATCATTAGGACAACCAATAACTGTCACTTTCAATTACTGTTCTTGTATTACAATTTAGTCCAATTATATATACGACGAGCTTACAAGAGAAAGGGTATACTATAGGAAATTAAAATCCTTGTACAAATCATTAAAATGCGTTTTACAATTTTTCAAGATATTTAATGAGTTGCGTTAAATAAAGTTTAATATTAGTAAAAATTTAAATTAAGATAAATCACAATAATTGACAATAAATCATCGCTCAAGACTTGGAAAAAAAAAAAAAAAAAAATTTTATACTTTTTCTACTTTTAATTATTGCAACTTATGCATTTATACACTATTATTTGTGGAATACATATGTTACACAAGAAGAATGCTACTATATAAGAATTTCAACGCATCATAAACAATTATATGTCACTTATAACTAATATACAAAAATAGCAAATATTCCGTCTTTAAGAAGCCACATATTATAAAATATGTGTTTCGCATGTGTCTGAAAGTAGACACGCGGACGATCAGTTACCTCTACGATAAAAGTTCCTGGGAATATTCTGATAGCAGAAAAGCGTGAAGAATAAATGACGATGTCAGAAGCGGGTGGTCGAACATAGCTACAATATAGAACTTGACAATGATATACAATAATCTGAGTATCTACATAACACACTATCTTAGGCGAAATAAAAAAAGTATTCAAAATGAAAGCGGATATATATATATATGCATATTAAAAAGCACCTATTTACGTAGATGTCGAACGATGCGGTGTAGAGAACAATTGCGTTTCACATATCCGCCATTACTACACGAGAATCTTTAGATGGTAGACCCTCTGCAGAAATTTACATCAACATAGAATCTCTCCAATTATGATTATTCTTATTGCGTATCGCTTAAGCACTTTTTTGCAAGATTTGGTGGCGAAACACAAAAAGCTCTACACTCATCCAAATCCTCTCGTTTCAGAGAATTTTATGTAATCATTCCGCATTCACAATTGGAAGAACATTCCTATTGTATTTTCAGAAGCTAATAATAACGAAAGACCAAATAAAAAAAAGAAAAAAATTGGAATGATGATCGATTATAATCGTGCAATAGTGTACGACGGTAGAATGATCTAGAGGATTGTGTGTGCGACTCACCGCATTTTTAAATGTTGTTCCAATTGTGTACTGTTTCATACGTTCATTGGTTTCGCTTTCTACTTTTTGGCTTTTCTAAAATATGATAAATGCAATATGATCGAATGCGATAGGAACGACGGATGGAATTTCGTATGATGTGGAGTGAGGGCGCGCATCTTCTCGAATCATTGGCTTATGCTTTACGAGATGATCGTCCGTCACTCGAGAATGATAACGATGAATAATGTTCTCTACGGTAATCAAGTAAAATATTGGCTCGTGTCGTTTAATGATTAATTGAAATAATACTTCAAACAGAAGAATCGATGAGAAAATAAAGATCGTTTCGAAAAGAAGAAAAATTAATGTTATAAAATGGAATATGAGGAATGTTGTTAAAGGGAAGTAAAGTGATGGAAGATGATAAACGCGTATTTTTTTTATTGCTAACAGAATATTCTCAATTTCATCGGGACGTGTTTGAAAGGATGAAGCAATGATAATAACAAATTAACAGACACCTTATATACAAGAGTACACGTCTTGACTTAAAACGCTGCAAAACTTAATAACTCACACAATTCGTAATATAAATATTCGCAACATTGTCAGATGTCCATTATAGATTTAAAATTTTATTACGACGTAAGATAGTAATATTTTATTTGTCAACATTGTAAAATTTTTTACACAATTTATTCGCTTAAAATTCTTGCGTTCAGTTAAAATATCCATATTATTTTAAAATTCTGATGTATGATATTGCAATAGCAAAATTTCCCAATGAACACTTACTTTTTCTTGAGAGTGAAGAAACTACGCCGCTTAGTTTCGGCTTGTGTCGGGGCTGGCAAGGTGTGAGCCCTGGATGTGCTTGCACCTGATGTTCCTTGTGCCGCTTGATTTAATGCGGATACCCAGTCGTTCATTTCGGTATCGTCTTTGGCCTGGAACAGGAAGTCGGATCCGCTTTGCGACCTATAAAAAAAAAGGCAATTTACAATATCTACATCAATGTCGCAAAATGCGCAAATATATAATATCGAGTACTGACTTGACTCGGAAGACATGTTTCTTCTTAGTGTAATCACTCGCTACAGTAATAGTCGCGCCTCTCAAATCAAGAGGAGCCTCTCCTTTGTACGATTGATCGGGCGAAGCTTTGTACGACTTCTGATCTTTATATACAAATAAGCTCTGCCCGCGTACGACCATGTATACTTTGTCCCAGGAGCGATTGGACGCCTTCTTCGTCGTACTTTCCCACTCGTGCTTCCGCTGTAACGGCCCCTCGAACTCGTCGTCGCTCGGACTTCGTGGTTCTGGAAAAGATAACGGATTTTACTATCTATCGCTTAATAAGGAGCAATTTACTAAAATATTTCGGATAAATTATAAATTATTTATACGAGGGAACAGCCTGCATCTCTTGCTTCGAGTAGATGATGAAGCTGCAAATAATCAGTGACATTATTTTGAAGAATTAGTCGCAACATTCATTCAATGGAATACCCAGTTATAACAATTCTATCGAACCAATTTTCCAATTTTTTCCATTATTCTAATTTAGAGAATGCATTTACTTAACATTTAAACTTCCCAACCAACATATATTGTATATTTATGCTTATAATAGCACTTGGACAAAAACAAGCCCCGATTACTCATTCCTTTATTTGTTAGACGTAACGCATAAATGATAGGATATAATTTAGTTCCAAGAGTGTTTCCCCATTATACATACATATAATTACTGTGTGTATACAGCTGTCTTCTTAAATATAGCAGTTAATAAAGGGATTATTTAAAACCTATGTAACCAAAACATAGTTGATTAGTAAAGATTAAATGCCAGGTTCTATTTAATCTCAGCTTCCACCTAAATAACACTTTGACAGTAATTTAGAAATTCACGAATTGAAACCATAATAGCAGATATTATGTTTTCGATTTTTTTCGAGCAGTGACATCATTTATTGTCAAATGTCAAGCTGGATCATCCGTTTTTATACTTCGTACTGTAAATATATGCATGTAAAGCAAAGTTGAAATATAATCACACGAGTGACAAAAGTGTGTAACAAAAAAGAAAAAAAAAAGAAAATTTGACGTCCAACGAGCGAACGTTAAGTGTAATTACTGTCGACCGTTTAAGTCTCTTTTTTTCATTCACTTACCAGGAATACTATGCTCATCATCACTCACACCACTGCGATCTAAACTTGGCGACTTGGCGGACTTTCTCCAGCGGAAGCTCCTGAATGGTGACTTGCTGCGGCTTCGTTCCTTACGCCTTGCAGCCTCGGAGCCACTTCCTTTCGGAGCTTTACGACGTACGCAACACACATAACGTTCATTAGCTTACTTACTTTGTACCCTAGCTTGTAGCAGAGATTTGTATCAGGTAAACAATTTGCCGCTAATAGTCCTTACATCCACGTGTTACATGTTACTTTTTTCCATGCTTTCTATATACAGAGAATATACGGTAATACGATACACACATGCAACATGCTCATACATAAGATGCCAAATGAGCAATGCACGCTTATCAAACTGTATGTAACAAGTAGGAGATATACTTCGTGTGTTTATCGCATCCACATTAACAGTTACGTTAATTAAAAAAACATTTATATGTTATATTTATGTATAAATATAAATATTTTTATTTATAATTATACAAACATATGATATATTTTTTAAATTTATATTTATATAAATATTTATTGCATATTTCAAAAATATTTTTTTTAAATCGATGTGTGCTCATTTTTCTAAACTTGCCACTGAATGAACAGTGAAGTCTGACGATAAACAAAAATCAAATCGATCGTAAAAAGTTTTATGCATAGCGATTTTATGCGCCATGGTTTTATGTATCCGCGATCAATATGATTTGCGGCTTAGGAGCGTGAAATTCCTAATCTTGAAGAATTGATGTATCGCTCAAGTGTAAAGAATTACACGGGATGAACTCTTGTTGTGCAGAAAGGTCAGAGACGCCGCGCCCACCGCTGGTGCAATTAATACCAGCGGTGTCACGACCCGCGCCACCTTGGTCGGCTGTCGCGATAATCGATCTTAAGATGCAGGAACTATCGTCACAGCATTTTGTGGGGAAATATCTGATACTTCTCTTCTATCCGTGTGACTTCTCATTCATGTGCCCCACCGAACTTATCCAATTTAGCGATCGCATTGCCGAATTCCAAGCTCTTGGTACGAAGTTAAATTTTTCTTCCCCGTTTAATGACAGTATAAATATAATTTTCAACAACGAAGTCAATAAAGAATACTCGTAAAAAGAAAGATTCGTCAAACAATCGTTTACGAAGAAAAGAAATTATTTTACATCAAATTGCTTCGTTCCGAGTTTTTATATTTGTGATAACGTTTTCTCTTAGGTACATCTTAATTAATTCCCGCGTTTTATACTAGGTTCGGAGGTAGTAGCAGTCTCAACAGATTCTAAATTCTCGCATTTCGCTTGGGTGACGACCCCGCGTAAGCAAGGAGGCTTGGGCGAAATGAAGATTCCATTGCTCTCCGATAAGAATCATCAAATAGCGCGGGACTACGGCGTATTAAACGAGAAACAAGGGTATGCATACAGAGCCCTATTCATTATAGATAGACAGCAAATTATACGCCACGTGACGATAAACGACCAAGATCTACCGCGATCAGTGGATGAAGTATTGCGAGTTATAAAAGCTTGTTGCTTCGTGGATAAAAACGGCAGTCTGTGTCCTTACGGCCCAGTGCCGACGAACAACGCTTTCGGAGAAGAACCAGACTATTTCAGCACATCTTAATCTCGATTATATGTCAATTCTTATATTTCTCAATCGTGATGAACGCAATCTTTCGTTAATTATATGGTTTATATCAAAGTGAATGATCATTCAAGACTTTGATTGAACTGAAACAATCACTCACGGTAATCGTGGCAGCTAAATGGCAGGGAATATTAATAAATGACCTTTCGACACATCTAGCTTGAGATTTGAGTATTTGCGAACACTTACTTGTCGGCGTGCGAGTACCATGCGGTGGAATTTTCACAGATGTTGGCGTGACAGGTTGAGTCCCATCTCCTTCCCGGAAAGACAGCTGTCTAGGTCTTTGTGCATGCACTACACCACACCAATCACAAAATCATGCTATGTATTATTTGGGTAATACATCATTTGTTAAATGCGCGATATATATTCGTCACGGTTATACCAATAACAATTACTCGATTGCTGCGATTATTAGCGTAAAAGCATAACTCGACGTTAATCATGAGTCCAATGATTCTTCATAGTGGTATGACCGTCCGAATATTCGAGTAAATCCTATACAACACGTACACAAACGACAGAACCCAATTTCGTGCTTCTATAGACTTAGAATGATGAGATGATTTCAAACGTGCTTACCTTCCAACGAGGTATTTAAGCATTATATTTTAACGTAATCATGCGATAGATGAGAATTAAATATAGTATAGTTAACAAATGTACCTACCAGCTGAATGAAATGGTTCGCAACGGATTAGTATGGGAAATTGTGACTATTAGAATTTCGCTTGATATTTCATTGTATCAAACTATTATATGTGATTTTACACATGTGCATGTTAAATATCAAAAATATTTGATAAATTGTTTTCTTGTGACATAACTGATGTCAGGCGACAGAAGAGACATCTTGGGCAGAATAACGGGCCATCACCTGCTAGAGAAAAAGTTAATAAAATGGTGATATGCGAAAGCGATAGGTGCGACGTGGCTATGAATATGCTGGAAAATGTAAGATTATTGCAATGTGTGACTTAACGCTAACGTGAAATCTGAAGAACAAAGCTGTCGTTAAATACTGCTACAAAGACGTGACTTGATCATCCATCCATCACCAGTTTGTGAAATTATGTGAACCTATACACAAGATATGATCCACTTGAGATTATAGCTTCGAAAGAGTTGCGGAGGAATTAGAAAAATGTTCTCAATGTAGAAGTCTCACGCTTTGACAAGTTTCATATCGCGTAACACTCACCTTCCTTGGGTTTGTCTTGAGGTTGTGGTGTACGTGTAGAAGCCTTGCGATGTGCCGCTGTGGTACGTGCATTCCGTGACGCATTAGGGTGCATTTCGGGTTGGATAAAATGACATGATGTGGTTAACGGATTTGATATGGATTGGAATAAGTTTCGGCAGGTTTGGGTGGGAAAAGGCAAAAATAAACGTGCTGTTAGCGATGTCACATGCTTATCCAGACAAACCATATTCATAATACGTAAATCGTCAGAGTTGAATTTTACGTCAAAAGCAAGATTTTACTCTACATCGCGATTATTAGTCATGAGAAGAAATGAAACGTTACTCTTGTTCCGCTTTTTCTCTTTCGGTTTACAATATTACTACCAATTGCAATCATTAGCACGCCAAATCAATAGTTATTCAAACTCGAAAATACAATTCTATTAGGAAAAAGCACTCAACATTATATTCTAAATAATGTGCGTGTTATATACCGGTTATTCTATATCAGCATCTTCAAACAGAATACAAAACCGTAGACAGAATTAGAAGATGCGGTAAGTACCGAGAAAAGTTGACACAGATTGTTCGATTAGTAAAACCCAAAACATATCCATTATATGCAATTATATTACCGTGTCCCTCATCTTCTCCACGTTCTCCACTTGTTGCCCCGTCAGTTTCAGCTCTGTAATAAACAACATTCATTCATAATATCGTGTATAACGTTGTGACACAGATTACAAAAATATTTGCATTACCTATCGCTAGGTGGTTCATCTGGACTAGTAACAGGCGTCGCCTTAGCCAAACGTGCAGCCTCTGCCGCTGCCGCCTCCTCCCTTCTGCGTCTTTCTTCTTCCTCCCTTTCTTGCTCTCGTCGCTTTAGTTCTTTCAATTCGAACTGCATTAAAAATATGAAGATTGTTTATCTCTATATGTTAAACCATATTCTATACCTTGTAAATTGCATTAATTTGACATAATGGAAATGAGTGTACATCTTACTGTGGAAAATTTACATATTTAAATGACATATGCGATACAATAGAAAGTATTCTACAAGCTTTCCTATTATGTTATCTGGCCAGAGATTTTTCGTAGAATTACTTACAGTAGTAAGTCGGTGCAAGGCACTAAACCTTTCTTCTTGTGCAGCTGCCGATTTTTCGAAAGCCTCGTGTTTCTTGATTAGATTCTCAACTTCATCGATAGTATGCTGTGAAAAACACAAGTTTTAAAAAAAAAACATTCAACAATTAAAAATTTGTGTTTGCAATTTAACTACTTACACCAAGCTCCTGACTCATAAGATATGGCTCTTGAGCAATTAACCATGCTTCAGCAACTGCCGCATCTCGAGCAAATTGGTAAACTTCCAAAACTATAGCAAACGTAAGTGAGTATTAAATATACAATATATCATACAAGAGCATGAAAGATCAAAACGCATTTTTTAAATAGCAAGTGCAACTTACTGAGTTGCAAGTTCTCCCAACGTTCCTCCCATCGGTGTAACAATGCGTTTCTGTGATCGGTTAATGCCGCCAATTTTTCCTTTATCTGCGCGCTGGCATAATGATTTCTAGCTAAGAGGTCTTTTCCGAGATTAATGCATGCCATTAGATTATCTTCCCTGGCATCAATCTCTGCCTTCAAGCTCTGATGGTTGTTCATCAGCAATTCAACGCCGGCGACGTCGCGCGGTTTTTCAGACGTATTCATCTGGCGCACAACGTCATCCATCCAGATCATCAGGGTCCTGACCATATTGAACGATTGCAAATTGTTCCACGCTGCTACGACCTCGGCTTCGCGGTTCGTAATCTCACGCGCTTTGTCGCCCGCGTAGCTTGCCTGTAGTTTAGCGGATTCTTCCTCGATCTGCGATACTTGATTCTGCAACGTGGATAGGTCCTGAATAAAGTTGGCATGTTTACGTTGAAGGGCGGATACCGAGCCGGCATCACGACCTAATTCGTCGGACATGGCGTTTTGTTTCTCTAGGATTCTGCCGAGAACGTCCTTGCAATCGTGGAAGAATTTGTGCAACTCGCGACTGGCCACCAGCATCTGTGTACGCGTCTCGATCAATTCCAGCAAGTCTTGCCAAACTTCGTTCAAGCCATCCTTCCACTCGGCGATCGTTGCCGCATCGGAATGCCCGGTAGCGATAAGAGAATCTGCAATGCCATTGACGGCCTCCACTCGTTCGGAACCAATCGCTTCTGTATCGCGCGCAAACTCCTTGAATCTCTCCCACAACAGCGTCACATGATCGTAATCCTGACCCAGCTCGTGACTACCGGCGACCAGTTCTCTCTCCTGGATCCATTGTTCGAGATCGTCGACTTCTCGGTTTAGCATGAATAACTGGAGTGCCTCATCCAGTTTGGCTCGTCGCTCACCAGCCAGATCTTTCAAACCGGCGTACAGTTTGTCTACCTGCGATTGTTTCACAGCGATTTGATCAGCCAATGGGTGTTGGTCATTTATTAGTTGCCTAGCGGTCTCGCCTAGTTGGCGAATCGTCTCCGCGTAATCTTCAACCGCATGTTCAAGCGATTCGTGCTTCTTCATCAGATTTTGAGCAGAGATCTCATCCTTACCACGATCCTCGACCATCATGTACAGCTCTTGCTCGCTCATCCATGACTCGGCCTCAGTGGCATCGAAGAAGTACTGCTGCGCCTTCTCGTTCTGCAGCAGATGCTTATTTCTATCGTCGACCGCGTCCTTCAGCTCGCGCCATTTCTCCGTCAATTCGGGTATTAGTTCTTGGAACTCGGGACTGTCCTCGTGTCCTTCGTCAATCAGTTTCTGCCCGTTATTACATACCAAATTGATCCTGGGTTCGTGATTTTCAATTTCCGTGCGCAATGACTGATTCTTCTTCTTTAGCATGTGAACGTTAAACAGTGAATTTCCGTACTCGGTGCTAGTTGCTTGCGGCATCTTCTCTGCAATCCACAGCTTCTCATCCTCTACGTCGCGTCGGAATTGGAAGGCCTCTTTCTTCTTTTCGAGCTGCCGTTGACGATCGACGAGCGGTGCCTTGAGCTGAGCGAATCTCTGAGCGACTTTCTCCTTCTTGAACTTGATTTCCTCCATTTTATCATCGGGTACTGTACGTTGCAAATGTTCCGCCTGTTTGTCCAATTCGGTAACCTGTTTCGCTTTCACCGCCATTTGAGTCTCGATCATTTGTTGCTTCTGCATCAATATATTCACGGACGCCAGGTCAGATCCGGTGTCGGTACTTTCTATCTGTTTCTCTAGTTCGTTCATCCAAGAATCGATATCATCACAGGTCTGATGTATCAACACCTCGCGGTTCGAATCGAACAATCGTTCACCCTTATCGTGAGTCGTGGTCTCCAGTTCGATGAATTGATCCGCCAATTCGGTGACCTTCGGTTTGATAATCTCCGCTAGATCCGGTTTTTGTTGAATCAATTCGTCCGCGGCTTGCTGCAATTGCTGCAAGCGATCTTTGTTGCTGGCGATTTCCGCTTCGAACGCTTGGTGACGTGTCCATTTACTATGAATAGTCTTCGCGCTTCTGTATGTTTCATCTTGAGCAGTGATATGTTTCTCCTGTACCCATTCACCGAGTTCCTCGCAATCTTGTAGGAACATCTGTAACTGAAGCTGATCCTTGAGTTTCTCCATAAGTAGATTGGCCTTCTCGCGATTAATTCGTCGACGCTCGTTGATGTTCTCGGCCTTCTTCTTTACTTTATCGGCCGCAAAGTGTCCTTCATCGACCAAACGTCCGGCAAACTGTACGACCGAGTTGATCTTCTCGTCGTTGGCATCCATGGTAGTCATGAAAGCCTCGTGTCGTTTGATCATGTGTTCCGCTTGTTCGAAATTTGTCGGCGTTTCGTCTTTGGCAAGAATGTGTTCCTGTTGTGATAAGAGCACCTCCGCTTGACGCGCATCTCGATCGAACACTTGTAAATTCAAGGAGTTGGATAATAAGTTCTGACGATTCACCCACATCTGATGCAATTCCTCCCAGCCCATCTTCAGCGCGTTCAGTCTCTCACGCAGGAACATGTACTGCGTGTCGCCATCACCGGCCTCTGTCGTCAGTCGCTCGCCATATTCCATCATCTTCTGATAGTCATCAGTATAATTGTCAATCTCTTCCTTGATGTTCTGATGCTGTGTAAGCAGCTTCTCGGCATCGGCAAGACTGGTCGGCGTGTCCTCGCTGGCAACATCGGTCTGCGTTTTCGTGAGCCACGCCTGGAAGTGATCGAGGTCGCGTAGGAACCGGTGCAAATCTCCTGCCTCCTCGAGCTTAGCATCGCGCTCTTTCAACATCTGCGTCAGCTGCTCCCAAATCAGATGAATCTGCGCAATTCTCTCGCGTATCACCGCAGCCTCCTCCGGATGTTCCTTCTGTATGACTTCCGCCTCCTTCTCCAAGGAATCTAATTTGGCCTGAATAGCCGCCAAATCGCGCTCCATACCGCTCAGTCTACGTTGCAGCGTCATTACGCCAGTCAAATCCATTTCCAAATTATCAGTCTGCTGCAGGATTCGCTTTTTATCTTCGATCCAGGACACAGTCTCGCGACACTCGATATGGAACGTCTGCACACCATGTGCGGAGTTCAATTCCTCGCGTTTACCCTCCGCCTTCTCGCGCAGCTCAGCCCACTTCTGGTTCAGTTCGTTTTGTCGCGCAATTATCTGTTCCGAGTTCGGATGTTCGACATGCAGTAATTGTCTGGCCAATTGATTAACCACGGCGACGCGGGATGCGTTTGCATTCATTTCTTTCTCGAAGCCGTTATAGCGGTGTTTCATGATTTCAACATCTTCAATATCCTTGGCAGGCACCATCGTATCCAACATTCTATTCTTTTCGCCGATCCATTGTTCGACTCCGTCGGTCTCGCTGAATACCTTGTACAATGACAGCGCGTCCAGCAGTCTCTGCTTACGTAACTTGGCTAGCTCGAGGAGTTCCTTATACCTGTTATCTATTGAAGTCAGTCTTTCTAGGACTTCTGGCGATTTTGCGTCCTGTTCGCCTAACGTGGATGCCTGCTGGTGAAGTTGATCGATAGTAGCAGCATAATTTTTAAGCTCATCTGTTACATCTTTGTGTTTCTTCAACAACGATGCCACATTTGCCTCGTCTCTACCGACATCCTCCGACGAGACGAGTCGCAAAGTGTCCAACATCCAGATGTCTATGTCGTCCGCGTCTGCAAAAAGTTGATGATAATCGACAGCTTCTACGAGTCGCTTTCTTCTGAAAGCTGCCAGATCCAACAGATGATTCCACATAGCGAGAATTTCCTGAAGTCTCTCCTGAATACGATCGGAGCCAAAGTGTTGTTGCCGAACTAGCTCGTCGCCAACTGCTGCAACTGACATCAATTGCGGTTCGTGTGATTGTATCTCGTTTTCCAATGCTTTGTGCTTGGACAGCAGCAGGTTAATGGTAGTCAAGTCGTGACCAATGTCACCCGTGGATACGATCTGTTCCTTCTCCTTTATCCAATTCTCCTCATCAGCCATATCCCAATAGAACTGCCAGAGTTTCCGAGATTCCTCGAGCCTGGTACGACGTTCGATCGCTAACCGCACCAACTCGGCGTACGCGTTCTCCAATTGTTGCACGCGCTCGACGATAATGGCCGGATCGCACGGTCGATAGCCTTCTCCATGCTCTAGGAATCTCTGGCTCTGTTGAACAACAGCCTTGACTCTCTCGCCGAGCACATTGATATCTGCTTCGACGAGAGAATGCTTTTGCAACAGATCCTCCACGCCCATCAAATGTTTGCCATAATCATCTGTCAATAGTCGCAACTTGATTTCCTCCATGCTGTCCAGTATGTACAACATCTCCTGGAAGTTTTGCTGCAGCTGCAAGGAAAGTTCTAGTCGCATCCGCCTGGCGCGCAGCAATTCCAGAAGATAGTTCCATAGTCGTAGCACGTTGTCCTTGCGAGCGTTGATACGCTCAATGTCGTGATAGTTCTCTGCCTCGAGCTCCTGTGAGACCGCCATGACGGCTTGCACACGTTCTTCGTAGGCAAAAATGTCAGTTTCTATGGCTTCGTGCTTCTTCGCAGCAGCTTCTACGGCAGCGAGATCAAAGCCGAAGTTATCTTGCGATACTAACCGCTGATTCTCCGACAACCATGTCTCGCGCATGCTAGCCTTCCGGTTAAATCTGGCTGCCAACTGCTCCAACTTTTCTTGTCGAATCAGTTCCTCGCGCAGGGCCAATTCCCGTTCGTGTTCAGCCTTCTCCAATCTCTCCCATGCCTTATTGATATCGGATATCATTTTGCCCTCTTTGGGTGTATAGGGCTTCTGATTGTTTGCGCGCATCTTCGATTGTAGAGTAAACAATAATACTTCGAGATTACCCTTTTCCACAAATTTGGGTGGTTTCTCTACTGTGCGATAATTCGAGAATTGCGAAAGTTGTGATTGAACGCCGACTAAGGAATTCGCGAACCTGCGATCGCCAAGTGCTTCTATCGTGGCCTCGATCCAGCGCAACAAATCGCTGGTGAGGCTCTCATACTCATGTATCATACGATCGTTCTCCATCGCGATACCAACCACTTTGCCAATTCTCTTACCTTGCACAGTCTCCTGTTTCATCTTTGAGAAATAGTGATAATACGTGACGACGTAAGTTATGATAGACTTTTCGTCCGGATGATCGACGAAGATATCCTCGGCATCCAATAGCTTCGTGAGACCGAGTTTGTCCTCCGCAACGTTGAAGGCATTATTGAGATTGTAGATCGCGTTCGATTTGGAAAGCTTTTCGAACTGGATCAGATCTGGACGGTGCTTATGTATGATCGCGTTGAACGCCAGACCATCTCGCCACGATGTCGTGAAATTTCTTACGTTTACATTGTGATAACCCGCGGTCTTCATCTGACACCATAATAATAACGCGTCCTTTGCGGACTTGGTCTCCTGATTATCCGTCTCTTCGATCGTGATATCTTGAATCTGGAATCGCAAGATTATCGTCCAGATGAGACCCAGGCTCAGACGCGGATTCCCGTCGACAATATCGTGGGATCCCATGTTCTCCAGATGTACCCTCTGCTCACGCAGGAATTGCAGCGCCTTCTCCACATTCTCCAGGCAGTGGATGCGCATCTTGCCTTTGGTAGGACGCGGCAAACGTTCACCCGACAAAATCTCTAACAGCCTTATCAGCATCTTGCCATCTCGCAGATCGACGTACAGATCGCCGATTCGGCACGAACATCGGACTAAGTGGGAGTTGACCCATTTCTGGAAGGTCTTCTTTTGCACTAATTCACGCTCACCTGGTAAAGAAGATCACACAATAGTGATCTTAGTGAATCGTTAATGAATACACATTAAGACTCTTATTCTGTAACTTTAACGACAGCGTATGTTGTCGTTGTGCAGCTTTTTCATTATGAATAACAATATAGTGACATCGTTACTGTCGTTATGAGTTACAGAATAGGAACTATACAGGTAATATATGCTAACTTTAAATTTACTTTAAATGTATCTGAATTATCTAGTATGTCATAATTCGAAAATAACTAAATAAATTTTAGATAGGTTTTAAATAATTAATATAAAGTTTCTTTACCTCGAAGATCAAACACAATTTTATCATAATTCATTCTTAGTTAATAATCCGATATTTATTATATTCTCACTTGCACAACGATATTATTCTAATCTTTTCAATTACATATACTTAATAAGTTTAACTTTTTATAATATTCAATATACAGATATTCAATGATAGCTATACACATATCTCGACCATGTTCAATCTAGTCTAAGAAACAACTGTTACAAACTCATGAAGTTATCGAACTCTTAAAACGATTATCTCAAAAGGATGTGGTTGTTTGATAATTTCAACCATACAATTTTCTAAAAACAATTCATAGTACTTCAATAGCATCGTCATTCATTTTTATTATTACAAAATAGTGTTATGAAGTCGAACTTTAAGTATCCAATTAATAAAAACAAATCATTGAATTTATAAAACTATTGAATTTATAAAAAAATAATAATTGTAAAAGGCATAAGAGATAATTGTGATAAAATATGTATAAATAGCAATTGAAAAAGAAAATCGATAGAGTTCCGTACCAGCTAGCGCCTTGATACGTGAGCGTTCGAAAAGTCTCGAACTCGAGTTTCCCCCGTCGTATTCGTACTCGTCGACAATCTCTTGTTGTAGCGTGGGGTCCCAACCCCCGCGCACCACCGAGATGTCGGTCGTCATTTTGTCAATCAGACCAACAGCTCACTTCTGCCGAACCCTTAAAAAGGGTGCACCTGAAAATGATACCGTAAATTTATTAACGCGTGGAATCAGAGGAATTTTTAAAAGCGATAATTTATATGTTTTCCCTTCTCTTTTTCATCATGATATTTAAAAAATATATTTTATTTCTATCATATAAAATATATAATATTTATATTATAAATTTTAATGAAATTATGTCTCCATTGATTTCATGCTTTTTAAACCCCTGATTATTAAATGCTCAACGTCAAATATTTTTCACAACCCTTTATATAGCCTCTTTAAATTCTTTGGAGTGCAATCTCACTTTAAGGAGTGACAATTGAGCCAGTCTTAGAAAAAAGTGACACAATTTTCAATCTTTAAGAGTAAGATTTCACTTTAAAAGTTTTTAGAGAGAACGTGTTATAATCTAAAAAATATAAGAAATATTCAATGTTGAATATCTGAGACCTTCAACACACCTAGGAAACATGGTACCACGCATAAAATGCAAACGGAGACGTAGGTAATAATCGTAAGAATTTCTTCCTTTTGCTATACCCACGCAATGTAATGGTAAGCGGTGCACAGGACGTGTCTTGGCAAGCTATGGTCAGCGCGTTGTCACGTCAGTCGATCTATATGTACAGATAAGAATTGCAAAGTAATCTTATCTCCTTGCACGGCGGGTCTAACGATTAATAATTGGGTAAATAATAGGGACTTCGAGAGGATTAATGTTACGCAATGCTGTTCGATAACAGAGTGCGTCTACGCCCACGCACAATAACAGAGATCTTTCATTTTCTTCAGTGCGTTTCGTTAGTCTAAAATACATCGCGCACATTTCTCTTCAGCTCTCAGCGTTAAGATCCGATCGTATGACGTAGAAATTTGTTTTTCACATCACAAAAATAGTATCTTTAGTATCTGAAAGTAAATACTGATAAATCAGCTTTGAGAAAAGCTGCAATAAATAAACTTCAGTGCCTGTTTTATATGGACTAATCCGTGTAATAAATCTGATTCTTCGCGTCAAATCTATTGTTCAATAAGGCATATTTCCTTAAATCAACACCCACAAGTCGTATTATATACAGAGTGTTCCGCGATAACACAGTATAACTCTTACGTTTTCCATTTATTTTTACACGAGGATCATCTCCTTTTCGATCGTTTACTGCAAGACATTAATTTAAATTTCTATGCGCTCAACATATGGTATAAAAACGTCGGTGAAGAACATGTTCTGTCGTAATCATCATTTCTTAGCGAGAATTTATGTCCGTTTTTCTTTTTTTTTTACCCGTATGCTCGTGTTCTTCAAATTGTTTTCGGCCGCTGTAACAATAATTGCATGGCTCTAATCGCTGAGTTCGCTTTCGAAGTCGCCGGATATCAAGGAGACGGCAATGTTCTGTTAACGTTTGTAAAGTACATGTCTTTAGGTATACGTGCGCTCATTTAAGATAGCATTGCCGCGCTCGCCTCCGCGTGGGAGAAGACGCGGCTGTTTCGCTCACCACACGACGATTACATCACGCGAATGATGTCACACACGCGAAATACACATCGGCATCGGCGTCGCACTGGTCCCCGCAGGAGGATGACTTAACGGAAAGGTAGACGCTCATCGGCATTGGCGCATACCTGCGATACGGAATCGCGCTTGCATACACGATAAACTTGAAGCACGTGCCAAGCAGACTTTTAAAAATGGAAAAAAGGGTGGTACCAAATGTTAAGTAAAATAATTTCAATCAAATGTTTAATATAACTAAAAATAATTTTAATTTTCTAAATATTCAGGAAGTATTACCAATAATATAACTAACCGTTTAGTAATAATTACTAAATATTTATAGAAATTATTTTTAATTATATTAAACTATTTTTTGAAATTATTTTACTCAACTTTTGGTAGATATTACCAAACTTTTTTCGGTGAATGTTTTAAATGTAAACACAAGAGATAAAGATCGATACAAAAATGGAATCAATTACTTTTTTCTATTTCATTATGTTAATAAAAAGATTTGTGAAAAGTGTCAGAAATCTAGATTTATGCTAATATGGTAAATATATTTATTAAATAATAGTTTAATTTATAAACTGTAAAAAAAGTATGTAAAATTCACGATTTATAACTAAAATGTGTATACATTTCAAACATAAATCGCGTGATTTTTATTCTTGCAGTTTAATTTTGCATACGCTTTATAGTATAGCGAAATACAATATACGAAATATAATAGTATGCGTTCTATAATTTAAATGCATGACAATTTTTCGTAGCAAGAAATTATTTTCTAGATCAGTGATTGAAGATATAAGACCAAAATATATTTTCTATATTTGTTTTCATGTTACAATTAATATACATATATATATATATATATTGATGAAATAAGAGGAAATGGGAATATGAATAAAAACAACTGATCTTTTGCATATAAACATTAATTAACAGCAATAAGCATTAATTAATTACGTAATCGCGTTTTCCCTAAATTCACGTATGGAACAGCGTTATCAACATTATCAACACAGAATGAAGGGTAATGCCTAATTAACCGCATTGTCTAATTTACGGCGATCCATTGCGAACAATATTTATTAATTAATATCGATAATACAATGAACAGTTGCATCTGCAGCTGCATGAGCGAGCGATATTGATCCTTTTTTCTTTAACGGACCAAATGTCACAGGTAACACGGCATGTCGGGCGCACGAGAAGCTCAAGGAGAACTAGAGTAAAACAATACGGTATCTAATAATGAAAACGACAAATTGAGAAGGGTAACTTCATAAGCCGGATGCAAACATGATTACGTCATCCTATTGAAATTAAAGACACACTGTCCACAAAAGTTATACAAACACATGTAAAAAAATTATACAATTTATAGTTATATAAATCTTATATTTTTACACGCTTTGCAACGTCGCAATTTTTATTAACGATTACACAACTACGTTGGCATTTTCAATTAACAAGCATCCTCGAAGCTTATCGTTGTGCATAAAATTACACTGCTTGCTATCACGAATTTATTATTTATCTGACGAAGGAGAAAAAGGAGAGAGAAGAATTTAGGATACACAGCGTTTTATGCACATCTAATCCTTTCTCGAGTGTTAATAATGTGAAGCGATAGACCAATCGCTAAGAAATCGACGCGTTCTTCTCGAGCGACGTCCAAAGCCTGGTGAACGCAAGCATGAATGGCATTCTTAAATGTCTGGACAGTCACTTACGTTGAATTAAGAGCAATTACGCGAGTGCCGTCATACTTAATGGCCGGCGTAGTGGGAACGTACATACAGATTAATGCCTTCGTATCTAGTGGGCGGGGTGAGATGAATCACAAAGTGAATGACACGATAATCGAGGAAGGTTAAGTTTACTGGCGGCACTTTCTACACGTTTTGTCTCCGAAAGAAGCAGTTCTTACGGAACGTAATCTCCTTTTTCAAAAAAGCTTACACAACATAGATAATTTCTAAATAAAATTTAATTTTTATAAAAATAAATAACAAATAGAGAGTTTAATACGAAAGTATTAATTACTAAATTTTAATGACAATTAATTTATTAAAAATTAATTAATTAAAATGTATTGAGTACAACATAGGCATAATACAGTACATATTACACCTGCATGCTTGAAAAATATAACAAGTAATAATGCAAGTAAAAAATAATAAAACAAGATAACAGTATTCTCTCCCTCGCTAATTGTAAGTTTCAAAAATATATATTTTACTTATATATTGCAGTGACTATTCATTATACCGTGAATTTGCTGTTTAGCAATTATGATAGTAATGGTATTTTTAATAATGCGGATATTACGTCCAAAAGTACTTTTTTTCTTAAAAGGATCTCTCTTTTAAAGTTGTATCATGAATTGAAAAAAAATGCAAAGATTAATAGTGTTTTTTTCGTATAATTACAATTAGTGCGTATGTGCCATCACGAAGAGACCTCTGTTGAACTCGATAAAATATGAGGTAAAGTAAGAAGCGAAAATGGAAAACAAGAAACTCATTGTGCACCAGAATGAGAACAGCCGTCTCTATATGCATCGCGAGTCCCTACACTGCTTCGGATGCCGTTCATGGAAGCGCAAGCAGGATTCTGTTGTTTAAATACATTCAATTCATTCTGAAGCGTTTTCTCGTCACATATAGGCAAAAAATTTTCTTCAATTCTCTCGATAACGAGACTGCTTGACTTCCATATTGTGTAGGTTATCTCTTAAATGATAACTCTTGTTTTTTCGTTTAACGAGAAACTTTTGAAAAATGAATTAGATCGCAAAAGATTATACTTTCAATTCATTCTTGAGGAGAGGTCAAATGCCTCACTAAATATTAATTTATACAACACAAGACGTACAATACTTATTATATCGCAGAAACGTAAAATCGATATCGTCCACGTAAGCAACGTAGTTAGCTATTTATAATTAGCCATATTCTCTTAGCTTCTAAATCTATACATCCTAAAATACATATCATCTCAATTTCAAAATCATCTTATGAACCTTCTACGGTGATTTTTATGAAGAAATAAAATTTATAAAAACTATTTACACAAAGTGTGTGTGTGTCGCGACTCCTACGATATATTTTGTTGCGGCTCACACAAAATCACGCACAAATAAGCATAACGATGACCTCTTCGGCGTCGGCGGTCTATCTTTAGGTCGGTCCGACACGAGATACACGGCGGAACCACATTTCGCCGATTCGTCATCTAATCGTGTGGATTAAATCGCGCTTTTGTGTACAGTTCGTTGCGCCTTCTTCGCCGCAAAAAGATGCGATATAGCGAACCACCGCACCGTCTCGTCGCAACAAACGAAGGTAAGATGAACACGACACGCGCACACACAGGCATACACGGGCACATATACAGCCAGGATTATTGATTTTCCACCGGAGCCACCGTGGCGCCGGTGTCCGCGGTGTACACACGTCGAAAGCACCTGCATAAGGTGAAGGATAGATGATACCCTGCGTTTTGAACCTTTAATCC